TTGTTATTGTAGTTAGCAACAATCAATGTAGTTAATTGAATGTACAATTAATGTAATCGAGTTTCATTTAATGCTTGGTCAACATATTTAAAAATATAGCCGTTGTAACTTTTAATACAAGCATTAACAGAATTTCAAAACTGTAACAAAATTAGTCGAATGCAGGTTGCATGTAATCAACTATATAACAAAGTGAAACAAAGTTTTGAAAAACTTTCACTTTGAAAATCTCATAGCACACTTTGAAAATGGTTTGTGCAAAGTCACGAGTTTTAATCGACTTACTTCATAATGAAGTCGACTTAAACCTGCTGTTTTGTCACACAATTAAAATTTCAACATAAGTGCTTGTGGTTTTCCTTTTATAAAACATCAGACATGCATTCACCAATAAAATCAATTATATAGCATAGTGAAATGCAATGTATGAACACAATCATGTTCTCAATGCTGTAAACAGATTTACACAATGATTAAAACATATAGCATGTAAGCAATAGAACATGTAACACATAAAAATACATGTGTTATTAATTATGTTGTCATCATAAAAAACCAGAAGCTCTAAGATTGTAGGTTCAGCTAAACCAGTGCTCCCCTATCAATAATCTCATCAATTGGCACAAGAGCTGGTTTTCATAAGATATTTGAAAAACAAGTCGATTATCTTTTTCTTTAAATCGACTGATCCTTTAAAATGGCTTTTAGTTTTCAAACCTTAGGTGAAAGTGCATCAACAAATAGGCCACCACTATTTGCTGGTGAAAACCATGCTTTTCGGAAAATCCGGATGCAAATCTTTCTTGAATCCGTGGATAAAGTTGTTTGGGGTGCAACACTAAACGGTCCATTTGAGCCAACTCATGTTGTTAATGGAAAAATTGTTTTGAAAAAAATTTTCTGAGTGGTCTCAAGATGAAAATCGTAGAGCACAATATGATGTCAAAGCACGTAATGTAATTGCTTCTGCACTAACTATGGATGACTTTTCAGGATTTCACAATGCAAGACAGTAAAGGAAATGTGGAACATTTTGGAGGTCACACACGAAGGCACAAAAGAAGTAAAGAGAGCCAGAAATAATTGATAAGTGTGAAAAAGAGTTGTTTTTATACTTATAAATGAGCTCAATCTTGTAATTTGTCATGTTGTTCCTCATTGAAAAGTTGTAATAGGTAGGAGATTGTTATGTAAAATATTGTACAGGAAATGATATATTATTTAGACTCTGTCAGCCAATTTTCGCAAAGCAAAAGCCAAAATTCGCACTGCCAAAAGAAGGAAATTCGCATAGCGCACCAGTACCTGTGCGCTGAGCGAATAACATCCGTTAAAGTGCAGCAATTAAGAAAATTCGCATAGCGCACCAGTACATGTGCGCTGAGCGAATTAATGAATTTAAGTGGCTTTAAAAGACATGACAGAGCGACAGAAACTCTCTTCGAATAGAAGTTTCGGACAAAAGAAAGAAACGAAAACATCTCAGTAACTTCCGGAGACTACTTCAAGGCATCAAGACACCATTGTTGCAAGGGATTGCTTCAAATGTGTACGTTTTAGATGACTAGGAGTAGTTAAATTTCTCTTTCGTTGGGATTGGATGTAATGAACTCATTGTGATTTAATTTTCCTACTCAATATATCGTTGTTCGTTCATATGCTCTTTCTTGAATTTATTATCATTGTATGAAAATATAATGTTATTTGAATGTCTTTGATTACTAGAAAGTAACTTTGAACATGAACGTAGATAGAGCACTTAAGTGATTTGGGATCTAGGGATAAACTCAATAACTTGATCATTCTTAACATCAGACTTAATGCAAATTGTATATTAAATTGACTAAGGGATTATCATTTTAATATATTAATTTAGAACTAGTTGCTAAGGGATTAGGACTAGTATGCCTTGGTGTGAATGTTTGAATGAAGTAATGAAATATTGAACAGAATTTTATATTCATATGATTCATGAAACCCAATTCCAACTAAATTTCTTTAAATATAAATTCCTTGCACACCAACTGTTTGATAAAATACCAAAAATAGTTTCTTGTGTTGTTGTTTTGTGTATTTTGATGTCTAATTGAGTTATAAAAGGAAGAATTGTCATGTGTTGCACAAGTCCCTTGGGAGACGATACTTTTACTTATTCACTGTATTACTTGGAACGATTTGGTATACTTGCCAAAAAGTTATCAATAATTCACTGATACAAGAGTATGAATTATTAAGAATGAAGGCTGGTGAGACTATCTACAAGGTTTAGAAAAGATTCACACATATAGTTAAGCACCTCATGGCTCTAGGAAAAGTGTTTGACAAAGAAGAGATCAATATAAAGATATTGAAAAGTCTGAATAGAAGCTGGCAACCCAAGGTTACTGCAATTTCTGAATCAAGAGACTTGACCAGCATGAACATTGCTACATTGTTTGGAAAACTCAAAGAATATGAATTGGAGCTTAGAAGGCTAAAGGAGGAAGAAGAAATTGAAGAGAAGAAATCAATTGCTCTAAAAGCCAAAAGCAAGAAAGCTACAAATAGTCATGAACCTGAGACTGAATCAGATGCAGATATACCAGGAAAAAAATGATGAATATGATGGTAAGAAAATTTGGCAGATTCATGAAAAATAGGAAGCAGAGGAAAGCTCCAAGTATCCTCAGGACAAGAATAGGAAGCAGAGGAAAACTTATATTGCTTGGGAAAACAGTGATACAGATTCTTCCAGTGATAAAGATTGTGATCGTGAAGAAGAATCAAATCTATGCTTCATGGCAGGTTCTGCACAATCAGACGATGATAGTGATCGTGAATTCGAAAATGAACCAATAGAAGTCAAGTACCACATGCTACTGGATGCATTTTAGGAAATTCATGCAGAGGCCATGCGACTTCAGTACAAAGTGAATCGATTATCATCTGAGAGAAGAGATTGTGAATACAGAATTGATAATCTTGTGCAGGATAATGAAAAGCTTGAAAAAGATCTTGTAGAAGCTCTGAAATCTGCAAAGACAGTATATATCGAAGTACAAGTTGTTGAGAAAGAATGATGTAACTATCCTCTACATGTTGAGAAAATTGAGTACTTAACCAGCACATTGGAAAATTTAATCAAGGCAAAGAAAATCTTGATGTTATGCTGAGATCATTTGGAAGAGCTATCTACAGACAAGGTATTGGTTATATAAGGCTAAAAGTAATAGGATAAACTCAAAGAAATTTATTGATATGAGTAAACCTACTACTAATGCATGCTTTTACTGCAATACACTTGGTCACAGAGTAAGAAACTGCTATTTTAGAAATGTTGGTGTTCCAAAGGGAAAATACAAATGGGTTCCCAAGGAATAACTTCCTGCTACTAAGAAGACAAGATCCAAATTCAAATGGGTACCAACGTCAAAACCTTTTAACTATTGTGCAGGAAAGGAGCAGTAGCTGCTGTAGCAGTGCACAACTCAAGGATGAGCTAACTTGATGATATCAAATTTCTTGAGTATCTACAAGCGGTAACAATCATTTTCACATTGCATCATGCATGATATTTGTTTGAATGATTGTTTGATGAATGTATGATTGTTGATTGATTAATTGAGATTGCTTTTTGTGAAAATCAATTTTTACGACTTTTAATCGATTGGATTAAATGTGTAGTCGATTATATCTTACTGTATGTGTGTCTCTATTTTCTGAAACATTCTGAAATAGTGAAGTTAACTTTGAAATTAATGAAATCAATTAGATATCTCTGTCATGGGTTTTCTATGTTTGAAAATTTAAATAAGGGCTTATTGGTGATTTCAGCTTCGCACATTTATATTGTAACTTGTATGTGGAACTGTGATAGCATTTAGTGAGGTTGGTAAGTATATTTCCAGTAACCCTAGACTGAAGAAGTATTTCCAGTAACTCTGCATTCATAATATAAACTGTATCTATGACTTAAAAAAAGTTTGAAAAAAATATTGTCACTTCCCCCGTTCTCCTTTGTTTCGCTCATTTGACTTTATCTTTGTTCTTTCGACTTTCTTTCGAATTCGTTCATCTAAAAGAGCGGTTTTCATCCCTGTGCGTGTACTTCCCGCGACATTTCTTAAGCACTTGCTGCAGTGCTCCGTTAGTCCACTGGGTTCAGGTATCCATCCACGTTCCCTCCTTCTCTTATCTGTTTCTCCTCCTTTCTTATTCCTTTTTGAAAACCCTAGTTAAGGGAACAAGGACGTGAGAGTAAGAGCGACGTGAGGGAGAGCGTCTAATGCTCTGAGGATAAATGGGCATGAGCGATTCATAAGAGCAAGGTTTAGTTAGGAGTGGTTATTGAAGATGGTGGAATCTGAGAGGGGCAGAATCGAATAGAGTGTCGANCTTCCATTGCACCTGTACTAACAAAATAACAATCCACACTCGTTAAATAATTACGGTTACTGAAACACCAAAAAGACAATGTAAAAGATAGAGTTAAGGTTCGACCATTATGACTTACAACAAAAACACCACCACACGAACAACGAAAGAAAACAATGCTCCACAGCCTCGTCGAAGAGACAGAAGTCCACAACAATGTGACCACACCGAAAACAGCACCGAGCTTCCAACCACAGAAAAGATACAAGAGAACAACAACTACCACATGAAAGAAGTGAAAAACCAAATCCCACAACACGCCAAAATGCAACTAGTTTTTCAAAGAGAACATACAGGATAGAACGAGAGATAAGATGGAAGGAATGAAAGAACTCCAGAGGTTCGAGCGAAAATAAGAAAACGAAAACCGCGAAACCAATTTCGTAAAGTTTTAAACTTTTCTTTCAATTTTGCCTTCGGCCTGATAACTTCTTTCCATTTTTTTTTTATTTTGTTTTGGCCAATGCAAAAACGTCACCTGACGGTTGTTAAATTGTTGACAAAAATTGGTTGTGAACATGACATTTTCCTTTTAAAGAACTGTTCTATCATGACACTTCTTGACTCTTAAAAAAAGCGTGAAAAAAATAGTCACTTCCCCGTTCTCCTTTGATTCGCTCATTTGACTTTATCTTTGTTCTTTCGACTTTCTTTCGAATTCATTCATCTAAACGAGCGGTTTTCATCCCTGTGCGTGTACTTCCTGCGACATTTCTTAAGCACTTGCTGTAGTGCTCCGTTAGTCCACTGGGTTCAGGTATCCACGTTCCCTCCTTCTCTTATCTGTTTCTCCTCCTTTCTTATTCCTTTTTGAAAACCCTAGTTAAGGGAACAAGGACGTGAGAGTGAGAGCGACGTGAGGGAGAGCGTCTAATGCTCTGAGGAGAAATGGGCATGAGCGATTCATAAGAGCAAGGTTTAGTTAGGAGTGGTTATTGAAGATGGTGGAATCTGAGAGGGGCAGAATCGAATAGAGTGTCGAAGGAAATCTTTAGAAGCTGAAGATTTGATTTCGTTTGGTAAGCGACTATGTAAGGGTAGTGAAAAGAGAGTGGGAGCATCTAAGGAGTAAGAGAACGAAGGAGAAGATAGACCAAATTAGGAGTGGTTGTGCTCGAGAAGAAAGACCAAATTAGTTCTAGCTTTTACTTTTGATTTTAATTTATGACTTAGTCTTGAATTTCCTATTTTACAGCAAACATGTTTAACCCAGATATTCAAATTATCTCAAACTACGATGGTTCTCAAAAACCCTTGGATCATCCAGCTGATTTCTATGATTTCTATGTTGGCAGGCATTTGTAAGTGAGTATGTCGTTTGGCAATCGGACGCTGGTAATGGAACTCTTCTTGCTGACATCGCTAAAGCTGCATTCCTTATTGGATTACAATTCTTTCTTCGTTTCTATTTTGTTGATATAACGGCCCTGGTCGGTCCCAGTTTTTTTGTATTTCAAATAGTTGGCTTTCAAGTTTTTGGTACATATAAAAATATTTAGTTTATGCGTAGTAGTTTATTTTTAAGTAAAAATCACATTTTTTTCGTATCGTTTGTAAGAGAACATTAGGAGAAAATTGTTTCATCCAAAATAATCATTTGAAAACACGTTCCAAATGAACGTTTTACCTAACAACTTAAGCTTTCGTGTAAAGTTATTTACTAAACAACCACTACAACTTTCTAATTTTGTATGTTATTGTTTCTCCTGGAAATAAGTATATGTATTAAAAGTGCTATGTATAAATTTATAACACTTAGTAATAAGTAGCAGGGAATTGGTTACAGAATAAAAGAGTAAATGACTTTTTCCGCGGTTGATTTTCAGTTATGCAATATAGTTAGTTTTATGCATTAGTGATTGATTAAATTGTGTATACTTAGATACTAAAGACACAACTAGTGTGAGTGATCATGGTGGTGATAGTGTTAGCTAGTGACGTAACTCTTAATTTTTTCTTTGCTCTGGCAGGTTGATAAAGATATAGACAGTACTACAACTAGATGTAGATCGTGGTTTCATCTTTTGATATGGTTGCTGGTTGTGGAGCAACTGAACCATACACTACACTGACCTTGAGTACAATATCACGTCACTTTCGGTGTTTACGTGATACCATTAGTGGTCAAATTCAAGTGACTCAAAGGAGCCCTGGAGAACAAGAGCTAATACCTCGTCTACGCTATGTTGATCAGCAGCTTCGACAACAAAAGGCACTTCAGCAACTTGGTGTAATGCGACGAGCTTGGAGGCCTCAGAGGGGATTTCCTGAAACCTCGGTTTCAATACTTCGAGCATGGCTCTTTGAGCACTTCCTCCATCCGTAATTCCCCTGTTTCCAATTTTCATTTGGTTCCAGTTATCCAAAGGATTCAGAGAAAACTTGCTGGCTAGACAAATTGGTTTAACAAGAAACCAGGGTACGACAGTTAATATTTTTCTCAGTTGTAGAAGATTGTATTAGTGCATGTTTGTGAATGATTACTTGTGTTGAATAATCACTCTTTTTCGAAGCTGACAGTAAAGAGTATATAATGTTTACACGAACAATTTATAAGTTGACATGTATGGTAAGTTTGCTAATTTTTATAATAATTAGGTTGAAAGCAATACCGCTGTTAAACATAAAAAGTAGTTATTTCTCAAACATAAATGGAACAAATTAAATGTCTACATTTATTCCTAGAAAATTTGGTTTTGATGAGGATCCAACATTAAAAATCAATGACCCCCTAAAATTTCAGTCTTGTTGATGTTTGCTGGCCTCCATTTGATTCATGTCAGGTGACAAATTGGTTCATTAATGCAAGGGTGCAGCTTTGGAGCTGCATCACTAATCGTGGGCTTAATTTCTTCTTACTATTGGATGACTTCTATGTTACTAATGCTGTCAATCCTCTGATCAATCAAGCTTCAATTTCACATTAGAATTCACTACAACTACACTTCATCCCTGGTTCTATCTTCCTTATCTCAATTTTACTTTGTTAGTATCTGTTTTTGATAGAATGAGTTAGTTTAGATACCATATTTTATTTCTTCTAGATAATAGGTAGATTGGTTT